TAAATAGGTACCTGGGAGTTAGTCAGCTGTCACGGGCTGCATCCTGGGGTGTGTGTGTGTGGGTGTGGGAAAAAAAAACAAAAAAGTAGTTAGTAAACAGTTGATTGACAGTTGAGAGGCGGGCCGAAAGAGCAAAGCTCAACCCCCGCAAAAAAAAAAAAAAAAAAAAAAAAAAAAAAAAAAAAAAAAAAAAAAAAAAAAAAAAAAAAACACAACTAGTAAACACACGGGTGGAGGCCAAGACCGTCAGTAGTTTCAAAGCGTTATATGACAAAGAGTGCTGGAAGACGGGACACCACGAGCGTAGCTCTCATCCTGTAACTACACTTAGGTAATTACACTTAGGTAATTACACACACAACACACACACACACACACACACACACACACAAGGGGACACAGGTGGACACACTCACTCACTCTTATTAATATTAGAAAGATATTAGAAAGAACTTTTTTAGTGTCAGAGTGGTTGACAAATGGAATGCATTAGGGGGTGATGTGGTGGAGGCTGACTCCATACACAGTTTCAAGAGTAGATATGATAGAGCTCAGTAGGCTCAGGAACCTGTACACCTGTTGATTGACGGTTGAGAGCCAGAGCTCAACCCCCGCAAGCACAATTATGTGAGTACAATTAGGTGAGTATACACACACAACTGTGTGTGGCCATATGTTTGGTACGGACAGAAGGAGAAAGAAGGGAGAAGAGAAGCAGAGAAAAGTTATGAAAATAATATAGCAAACAAAGCCAAGACCGAATCAAAGCTACTCTACAGTCACATCAGAAGGAAAACAACAGTGAAAGAACAGGTATTGAGACTGAGAACTGGCGAGGACAGGTATACAGAGAATGACAGAGAGGTGTGTGAAGAACTCAACAAGAGGTTCCAGGAGGTCTTCACAATAGAATAAGGTGAGGTCACTGTGCTAGGAGAAAGGGAGGTAAACCAGGCGGATTTGGAAGGGTTCGAAATTACGAGAGAGGAGGTCAAGAGACATCTGCAGGATCTGGATGTTAGAAAGGCTATTGGTCCAGACAGGATCTCGCCATGGGTACTGAAAGAGTGTGCAGAGGCACTTTGCTCTCCAAAGTGTATAGTAGGTCACTGGAGACGGGAGACCTACCAGAAATATGGAAGACGGCGAATGTGGTCCCAATATATAAAAAGGGCGACAGGTAAGAGGCACTGAACTACAGGCCAGTGTCCTTGACTTGTATACCATGCAAGGTGATGGAGAAGATCGTGAGAAAAAACCTAGTAACACATCTGAAGAGAAGGGACTTTGTGACAAATCGCCAACATGGGTTCAGGGAGGGTAAATCTTGCCTGACTGGGTTAATAGAATTCTACGACCAGGTGACAAAGATTAATCAAGAAATAGAAGGCTGGGCAGACTGCACTTTCTTGGATTGTCTGAAAGCCTTTGACAAAGTACCGCATAAGAGGCTGGTGCATAAGCTGGAGAGACAGGCAGGTGTAGCTGGTAAGGTGCTCCAGTGGATAAGGGAGTATCTAAGCAATAGGAAGCAGAGAGTTACGGTGAGGGGTGAGACCTCCGATTGGCGTGAAGTCACCAGTGGAGTCCCACAGGGCTCTGTACTCGGTCCTATCTTGTTTCTGATATATGTAAATGATCTCCTGGAGGGTATAGATTAATTTCTCTCAATGTTTGCTGACGATGCCAAAATTATGAGAAGGATCAAGACAGAGGAGGACTGCTTGAGGCTTCAAGAAGACCTAGACAAGCTGAAGGAATGGTCAAACAAATGGTTGTTAGAGTTTAGCCCAACCAAATGTAATGTAATGAAGATAGGTGTAGGGAGTAGGAGACCAGATACAAGGTATCATTTGGGAGATGAAATACTTCAAGTGTCAGAGAAAGAAAAAGACTTGGGGGTTGATATCACGCCAGACCTGTCTCCTGCAGCCCATATCAAGAGGATAACATCAGCGGCATATGCCTGGCTGGCCAACATAAGAACGGCATTCAGAAGCTTGTGTAAGGAATCATTCAAAACTTTGTATACCACATATGTCAGGCCAATCCTGGAGTATGCAGCCCCAGCATGAAGTCCATATCTAGTCAAGGATAAGACCAAACTGGAAAAGGTTCAAAAGTTTGCCACCAGACTAGTACCCGAGCTGAGAGGTATGAGCTACGAGGAGAGACTACGGGAATTAAACCTCACTTCGCTGAAAGACAGAAGAGTTAGAGGAGACATGATCACCATATTCAAGATTCTCAAGGGAAGTGATAGGGTAGATAAAGACAGTCTATTTAACACATGGGGAACACGCACTAGGGGACACAGGGGGAAACTGAGTGCCCAAATGAGCCACAGAGATATTAGAAAGAACTTTTTTTAGTGTCAGAGTGGTTGACAAATGGAATGCATTAGGAAGTGATGTGGTGGAGGCTGACTCCATACACAGTTTCAAGTGTAGATATGATAGAGCCCAGTAGGCTCAGGAACCTGTACACCTGTTGATTGACGGTTGAGAGGCGGAACCAAAAAGCCAGAGCTCAACCCCTGCAGGCACAATTAGGTGAGTACACTTAGGTGAGTACACACACACACACACACACACACACACACACACACACACACACACACACACACACACACACACACACACACACCAGTACACGGAATAGTAACAGAACGAGGGGACATGGATGGAAGCTGGAAACTCAGATGAGTCACAGAGATGTTAGGAAGTTTTCTTTTAGCGTGAGAGTAGGGTGAAAATGGATTGCATTTCAGGAACAGGTTGTGAAAGCAAATACTATTCATAATTTTAAAATCAGGTATGATAGGGAAATGGGAAAGGAGTCATTGCTGTAAACAACCGATGCTCGAAAGGCGGGATCCAAGAGTCAATGCTCGATCTTGCAGACACAACTAGGTGAGTACAACTACGTGAGTACACACACACACATACACACACACACACAAAGAAGAATCCATGGAATAATAGGGCGCGTTTGGAAGCAAGGGGACTGAACAAAAGAACGTGGAGGAACTTACGGAGTAATAGAACACCAAAAAAACAGAGAGATACCAGTGAACCAGGAATGAGTATGCTAGGGTGAGAAGGGAAACAGAGAAAAATTATGAAAATGATATAGCAAACAAAGCCAAGACCGAACCCACGCTACTCCACAGTCACATCAGGAGGAAAACAACAGTGAATGAACAGGTCTTCACAATAGAACAAGGTTCCAGGAGGTCTTCGTAATAGAACAAGGTTCCAGGAGGTCTTCTCAATAGAACAAGGTGAGGTCACTGTGCTAGGAGAAAGGAAAATAAACCAGGCGGCCTTGGAAGGGTTCGAAATTACGAGAGAGGAGGTCAAGAGAAACCTGCTGGGTCTGGATGTTAGAAAAGCTGTTCGTCCAGATGGGATCTCGCCATGGGTACTGAAAGAGTGTGCAGAGGCACTTTGCTTACCACTCTCCATAGTGTATAGTAGGTCACTGGAGAAGGGAGACCTACCAAAAATATGGAAGACGGCGAATGTGGTCTCAATATAGAAAAAGGGTGACAGGAAAGAGTCACTGAACTACAGACCAGTGTCCTTGACTTGTATTCCATGCAAGGTGATGGAGAAGATCGTGAGAAAAAACCTAGTAACACATTTGGAGAGAAGGGACTTTGTGACAAATCGCCAACATGGTTTCAGGGAGGGTAAATCTTGCCTGACTGGGTTAATAGAATTCTACGACCAGGTGACAAAGATTAATCAAGAAATAGAAGGCTGGGCAGACTGCACTTTCTTGGATTGTCTGAAAGCCTTTGACAAAGTACCGCATAAGAGGCTGGTGCATAAGCTGGAGAGACAGGCAGGTGTAGCTGGTAAGGTGCTCCAGTGGATAAGGGAGTATCTAAGCAATAGGAAGCAGAGAGTTACGGTGAGGGGTGAGACCTCCGATTGGCGTGAAGTCACCAGTGGAGTCCCACAGGGCTCTGTACTCGGTCCTATCTTGTTTCTGATATATGTAAATGATCTCCCGGAGGGTATCGATTCATTTCTCTCAATGTTTGCGGACGATGCTAAAATTATGAGAAGGATTAAAACAGAAGAGGACTGTTTGAGGCTTCAAGAAGACCTAGACAAGCTGAAGGAATGGTCGAACAAATGGTTGTTAGAGTTTAACCCAACCAAATGTAATGTAATGAAGATAGGTGTAGGGAGCAGGAGGCCAGATACAAGGTATCATCTGGGAGAGGAAATTCGTCAGGAGTCAGAGAAGGAAAAAGACTTGGGGGTTGATATCACGCCAGACCTGTCTCCTGCAGCACATATCAAGCGGATAACATCAGCGGCATATGCCAGGCTGGCCAACATACGAACGGCATTCAGAAACATTCAGAGTGTAAAGAATCATTCAGAACTTTGTATACCACATATGTCAGGCCAATCCTGGAGTATGCAGCCCCAGCATGGAGTCCATATCTAGTCAAGGATAAGACTAAACTGGAAAAGGTTCAAAGGTTTGCCACCAGACTAGTACCCGAGCTGAGAGGTATGAGCTACGAGGAGAGACTACGGGAATTAAACCTCACTTCGCTGGAAGACAGAAGAGTTAGGGGGGACATGATCACCACATTCAAGATTCTGAAGGGGATTGATAGGGTAGATAAAGACAGTCTATTTAACACAAGGGGAACACGCACAAGGGGACACAGGTGGAAACTGAGTGCCCAAATGAGCCACAGAGATATTAGAAAGAACTTTTTTAGTGTCAGAGTGGTTGACAAATGGAATGCATTAGGGGGTGATGTGGTGGAGGCTGACTCCATACACAGTTTCAAGTGTAGATATGATAGAGCCCGATAGGCTCAGGAATCTGTACACCTGTTGATTGACGGTTGAGAGGCGGGACCAAAGAGCCAGAGCTCAACCCCCGCAAACACAACTAGGTGAGTACACACACACACACACACACACTTCCCCACCCAGCACTCACTGTGTTGTATTCTCCACCAGGCCATGTGGTTTGGCGCTCGGGTGTGGTCGGTGGCAGCGGTGTGGGCGTGCGTGGGCGTGCGGACCTGTCTGGCCGCCTGCACCATGGCCGAGTTTCCCTGCAGAAATAAACAGTGCATCAACCTGGATCGCTACTGTGACGGGCAGAAGGACTGTGAGGACAACAGCGACGAGCCCTCGGGGTGTTCACGTGAGTGTTCTCTCCTGTTCACCTGTTCTACATTGGTCTCTAGTTTATGGTACTCTGTGGTAGTATTTGACCGTTAATGTTGGTTCCTCATTCATGACATGTGATATCTCATGATGTTCTGCGATTATATATCTCGGTGGATAACACAATGACATTTTGTAGTGGACTGTAAAGTTTTGTGGTTGTCTGAAATTAATTTATTAGAGCTGTGGTCTTATAATAGAGTATGTATTTCTACAGTAGTCTATTACAAAGTTTCATGGATGACTACAATTATGGGGCTGAATATTCTGGTCGTTGATGATCGTTACCAGTGCCATATGCCATAAGTGTTACCAGATTAGCTGCCATTAATGTGATATCTTCAGATTTAAGATGTTCTCTTGTCCGTAGCTGTAGCCTAGTTTAGGAACGAGTGATGAATGTGTGAAACCGACTATATAGGGAAATACATTCAGCTGCTTCAACTAACTTGTAAGAACTTTGACTCTGCTTTTGAAAGTGTTCACAGGGTCAGTGAAATGCACTCTTAGCATCAGACCGCAATAAAACTCTAAAATGGAATTTGGAGAGTTAATTTCCAAATCTTTCCTCCACTCCACTGGGACCTATCAAGAAAAGATGCCTCTACCGATAAATTCTTCAACTATCCAGACAAAATTCTCACTGGCAGTATTCAAGTTGCAGCAAGCTGAGCGCAACTCCTCATGCACCACAGTATTGGACCTTGAAAAAGAAGACACCCAGCTCAAGATCAGATCAAAGGCAAACCTCAGAGGCGAATATATTCTCAGGCCCAAAAAGAGACAGCTGTAATGATTCTTAAAAATTATAAGAAATGCAACGAACTCAAGCCAGAGGACAAAATAAGGAAAATCATTGTCCTCTACTATCCCTTGCACATTGCCCTAACTTATTTACAAAAGTTGAATTATGTGGTGTCAGCAGTAAGATGCCAGGTAAAATCCACAAAGCAGGAAACCCGACAAGTCCTTCTCACTGTAAAAGGACAGATTCCAATCTTGGCATTTGGGGCGTGTTTCAATACAGGCTTTACATCCCAGAGCCCCTCAGATGTTTCAGATGTCAGAGATTTGGACATCACAAGGATGGCTGCCAACGCCCAGTGAAGTGTGGAGTCTGCAGCCAGCCCCATGACACGAAAATTTGCCTTGATAATCAAAAGCCTGACCAGCCAATTCAAGCTAAGTGCCCAAATTACTCTAAGCAAACCATGCCTGGAACCTAAAATGCCCCAAAAGGCTTAAAAGGGTCCAAACGAAGCCCCCCCCTCCCATGTCCACACCAGCAGAGCAGAAGTGTCAACCCAAATATATACCAGTTCACCTGCCCACAAAAACAACGCGGAGCTTACCAAGACCAAACCAGGTGGCGGGGGGCCCATGCGACATTGGCCATGGTGGAGGGTGAGAAGGCCTCCATCCAGGACAGAGGGAGGGCTGGAGGCCACCAGAAAATAGATCAATGTAATCGCCCACTCCCGACTGCATCCAGTAAGCACATTCAGGGCCATTAGGGCAAGAGTGTCCGAGTTTCCACTGATAACGACCAAAGAGTAAACTTGGCCCAAACCAGTACAGCACTAAGTAATGCTTCTACTCAATTGGACACCCTCTGGCCAATGCCTAAAGCCTTGGTCACGGAATTGGTCTTAACCTTAATATCAAAACACGGTCTCAAACAAGTCACAGAAACTCGAGAGACAATTGAGGACAAGCTCAAGAAATTCCAGCGGGCAGTGTCCTAACCTTTGGGGACGCAGGGCAGAGAAAACTCTTCTAACTCACACAAAAACAAGTAGAATCCAGTACTTCTGAAATCGACCTTGAAGAGTCAGTTTCAAGTGCACTAAGATCCTCAACTCCAATATCATCTTCCATGGTGAGTTCATCTGACTCTATCTCTATGGATGCCACAGCAATATCAACCAGTTCCAACAACCAAGAGGACTAAAGATCCTGCAATGGAATGTGCAAGGGCTGTGCACAAATTTGTAATGCATAGCAGTAAGGAATATTGCCGGAACAACCGTGGACATTTTCAAGAGGAAACTAGATTGTTTCCTCCAAGGAGTGCCGGACCAACTGGGCTGAGGTGGGTATGTGGGCCTGCGGGCAGCTCCAAGCAACAGCCTAGTGGACCAAACTCTCACAAGTCAAGCTTGGCCTCGGGCCGGGTTTAGGTAGTAGAAGAACTCCCAGAACCCCATCAACCAGGTATCAACCAGCAACCAAAGGCATAGACATCCTGCTACTATAAGAGACCTAGCTTCAAAACGGATTAGAACCTAAAATGTCAGTCTATTGTGGTTTCTTCCTTCTATGGGTCAACGAGCAATCTTGCAGATGTGCCATCTATGTGAAAAGTGACCTGATCTCCAAGCCCACCCGATTGTAGGCCAGGCACAGAGGTTATGGGAGATTCCATTGATCTAAGACACAACAGACTTGAAGTGTTTAATATTTACAGGTCTCCCTATGCAGAAATTTATGTTTCATTTCTATCTGGACACGCCACCACTTCAAACACAATAATTTGTGGTTATTTCAATGCCCATCATCTTTGTTATGATTTCAATGCCCACTGGGCTCGAACACAACAAATGAGGCTGGCATTCACATAGCACATCTGCTAGACCAGCTACCAGAAGTTCAAATCCTAAACAAGGATGAACTCACCCACACTTAAGGAGGTAGACTAGACCATGTCAGCTTTCCTCAGAGATATAGTAACATGGTCAGTTGAGCCAACATTAACAAGTGACTACTATGGGGTTCAAATTGATCTTAAGTTAGATCTACCCACACCACCTCCACCTCCATCAGAAGCCTGGAACTTTGCTTTAGCAAAATGGGACCACTTTCGAAACTTCATCTCAGAGTGCCATAGAAACTATGTTGTTTCCAAAGACATTAATCAGGAAGGACAAGATTTATTCAAAGCAATTCAAAGTGCAGCCAACCACTCAATTCCACATAAAAAACAGTCCAACAGACACCACAAATATCACTAGTACTCTTGTGAATGAGTCAAAGAACTCGGTCACAGACACAACAGCACAAGGTAGCTATATAAATATCAGCCAAGTAACTGAAACAGGACCTTACTTTGTGAGGTCAAGGAACATAGCACCAAAACGTTGCACCAAAAATAAGAGAAGAGGAACCGATAAGTTACTATAAGATTGTACTTGTCTACTAGATTTTCCACCCACAAGAATTTTGTGGTTTTGTTCCTCTTCCTGGAGACTTTCCCCTTAGGAAAGCTTTGCAGAAGTCTGTTGTATAGACATATTGATTTACTCTAAACTGCAATAAAGCATCAAACAGGTTTCGGGTTAAATTTAGAACTGTCTGTAAACAATCATTGAGACTTAGATTTTGCTTTGAACAGTGTTATATAAAAAGAGTGTCTGTACTATGGGGAATCTAGTGCTATTCAGGGGTAAGGCCAGTCAGAATAAACATGTATCTATTTGGGGAGATCAGTAAGGCCCGGCCCCCATGGAAACTAGAAGTAGTGCTGACTACTTGGCTACACAACAAGGTCAGTCTAGGGAATGATCAAGATCTTCTACTCAAGAAGAACGATACTCTTATAATTCATGTACTTATGTATTAACCCCTTAACAGCCCCCCATATACATTCACACCAATAACAATAATAATAATAACTTTACCACACTACCTTACGTTAAAAGCCTTGGTCCACATAAGCAGGATACAAGGTTTTACACTGAACACAAGCTAGGGTAAAGCTCTACTATTGAATAACTTGAAGTTAGAGTCAGCTTAGGGTAGGGGGACCATGTGGTTCCAATGGAACCCCCTTTACAATAACTAGTAATATAAACTCTAAAAACACCTACTCCTCACAAAGTATACTACTCTACACATAGAACATGAGTATGCCAGAATTGAATAATGTACTCAGTATATACTTATCTTGAACAAGACACAGAAATAAGGAAACGAAGAGGAAGGAGGAGGTTCCTTTCACCACAGGCAGCAACCAGAGAAGAACGCTCCCAGCGACCAGCTTAGGCCTCCCGCATGTGGTGGTGCCGGAAGGAGCCTAATTGATCGTGCAGCTAAGCACATTAAAAATCTTCCCCTATGCAACATATTGTTACTTTACAAATGATTAAAGTATTAGTAAACATAGTTAGTGCCTATGTTATTATTTAATAATCAACCCCCAGCTCAGTCTTTAAATGCTCTTTGAGAAACAAGAATTGTCTTATGTCTGGCAGGGAAGATACAAACAAAGACACATCGAGTTGCGTTTTGCTACTCTAACGTAGCTTATTTCGTTCAATTTTGACCTCTGGTTTCCACTGAAGAACCCAGGGTCGTAACAAACTGTAATAAAAACTATTCTAAAATGATAAGTTAAAGACTGTTTAGTCACAGCATGATGTGGTAGTTAATGACCATCCTTAATATTGTTATACTTTATGATCTCTATAAATTTATTTATTAATTGCTATGCAATAATCTCATGGTAAAATTATAATGTGATCATGTTTCCTTCAATGTTTTGGGCAAATTGTGCCATAAACTGACTGTCAGCCATATTGTAATTAGCTGGTAAGGTTTTGCGATTGCCCTTCCAGAGTAACCTGACCCATTATGGATTTTCTTTAACCTGCGTAAAGGAAAAACTCTAAATACTGATAAAGTATATATTAGTACTAGTACTGATAAAGTACTTTAGTATTTATTTACTAAAGTACTGCTGATAAGCACATGTAACATCTGGACTTATTTTGGCAGGATCCCTGTAGTGTCAAGATCCCACAGTTTAAGAACTGGTGGTTCCAGTCCCTCATCAGACATGTGACCCATTTCCAGTCGTGATTTTTCAGTGCCTTGTTTGGCAACGATCACTATTTCTGAATGACCATTTTCCGTGCCTTGTTTGGCAACGATCACTGTTTCTGAATGACCATTTTCCGTGTCTTGTCTGGCAACGATCAC